CATCTCTTTGCAGTATTTAAAGTGGGACTCTTCACTGATCCTGTATATTCCAGTACAGCCTTCACATGAATATAGAATTTTACTAAGCAAGAACAGTTGACGGGGTAGCTTGAAAGAATGTTATCATTATCCTATTGGACTTTGATGGTTCTTTGGAAATAATTTCAATTTGCCTTCTGATATAATTTTTTTATAGTACGGCCGTCTCTTTGTAGAAGCATTTCTGAAGCTTGCCATGCCTCTGCTGGACTACAGCTTTAAAAAGCACAGGGTAAGCCTTTCAGAGACAGAACTGTCTGGAACCAGTTGGGAAGCATCACTGCTGCTTGCTAGAAAGAGATTCCTGTGTCTGGTCAGGTGTTGGCATGACACTTGTGACACTTTATGACAAATATGCTTAATGTCTCCAGCTGTGCTCTGCCCAGTTTACTTGCCCACCCAGTGTTCTCTCAGCAAACAGATCACTGATACCCAACTTGCCATCACTCTTCTGGTTGGATGGCTTCACTGGTAGCAAAGGAAGCCCTTTCAACCTCCAACTCCTTCAAAAGATATTACTGCAAAGGTGACATTCCCAGAGTAGGAAACTCATGTGAGCAGTCAGGTTGGTGAGGGGATTGTGGGTTGGTGAGAGCTTGTGGTCCAGATGGACAGTGTCATTGGTGTCTTTGCAATAATTCTTGGAGCTTTGAGTTCCATGACACCATGTGGGAGTGCAGATGGACAGGCGCTTACTGCACCTCATGATGACCAAGAACAGCTCACCTATTCCCCCTGCTTTCTTGCAAGGCCACCCAGCTTTGACAGTGAGACTCGTTCTTTGGCTTAGTCTTCACAACTTGTGTTTCAAATAGATAACTCCTTCCTGCTGCAAATGTAATACCCATTTTCATGGATATTTGAGGGAGTGAGGTTATCAGCAGATACCTAGTCACTGGACAACAGAAAGCGCTGTGTCATTTGCTCAATAAAGAGGATTGATATCCAGAGTCCATGTTGGATGTGTTTCAAATACCAAAATCTAGCAGTGTGTTTTACATTTTTCCTCTGGTTCCCCTATTTCAGAAGGTTGTACTTGAGGCGAGATGTGACATGGTTGTCTTGATTTTAATTGCCCCAAGTTCACTGATACGTGTTCATTCCAAACTCTGATTCAAAGTCAGTTTCAGTGGGAAGTGCTTGGCCTTATGACACGTGGTCATACTTCTACCAGTTACTTGACTTCTCTGCACAGTGCTGGTCTCCTGTGGCTTCATCCCATTCGTCTGACACTTCTGCATACGTGCATCCTATCTCTATCCCATAACCCTTTGAAAGGATTGCTAGGAATAATACTGTTTCATTATTCTTGTTTCCCTTATGGAAAAATCCTTTGAGAATGACTTGCTGGTCTACTTATTTATTGCAGGATGATGTGCAGAGTTTGCTGAAAACCTTGCAGCTGAGTACCAGGCAACTTCATCACATGTGTGGCCATTCCAAGGTAAGATAAGTTCTAATTGCAGCATAAAATCCTGTCCTAAGAATGATTTATTTCCCTTCCAATGCTTTTCCAGGGCAGGGGCAGGTTCTACTTGCAGGCTTCTAGCAGTGTCTGTGGAAGCAAAAGCTCTGAGAGGGGGAGAAATAGCCTTGGTTAAGGGCCCCAGAGTTGAAGTATTGGATCTGGAAGTGGCTGATTTTGATGTCAGCTCAGGTTAGCATGCTCTTATGTAGGACAAAGGTTCTTGACATCTTTGGTTGTTGGTATCTGGAAGAGGGTGTTTCTGAGGACACATGCTAAGACCTTAGAGACCTCGCATAAAGTATAGATGTCAGCTTGATAACATGGGAGGGAAGCTTTGACAAAGATCAACAGCCTTGCGAGTCGGAAGAATCAGCAACGGGAGGCAGCAACTTCCCCATAGTAGGGAAGAGGGCAAAGGCAGAGGTGGAAGCTGGAAACACGCAGTCTGCCAGCCTCTCTGTACGAGGCTTGGGGCAGGCAGGAAGGAGAGGATTAGCACCCTGCTCACAATGTGGAGAGCCTGGGAAAAGACAGTTAGAAGGCACTTAATGTGTGCTGCTTTGTTCCTGTTAGATTCCAAAGAGGTTCAGAACACACGTCTGAAAAGGGAGCTTGGCCAAAGTAATTGGAGGGAGAAAGCCATGTATTAGTGTGGCTCCCCAGCCTAGATTTGCTACTGATGTAGTCCAGAGCTGGCATCGGGAGTGTAAAAGTCTGGCTGGAGATCAGAACGTGCCATTGCAGCTATTAGCATAGGAGAGAACTGGAAGCTGGCACAAACCCTGGAGATGCTAAAAAGCCCTTCTCATGTTTGAGAAGATGCCCGTTATAAAGTCACAATTCACCTTGTAAACAGGGTAACATCATTGCAGCTTGCGATGTCTTGTTTGTCTTTGCACTTGACTCGCATTTTCAAGTGCTGTGTCCACAGCCCCTGTTAGCATATAACCACAATTAGTGAACACCTGGGTTTTACCACTGCTCTTGGATCTGTTGCAGCCCAATTAGGTCTCTGTGCCAAATCATTTTTTCAAGAATGAGAAGGCAGCAGCTGAAGTTAGGCAAAGAATGTATGCGGTGATGCTCCATACATGTTTGAAGAGGAGTTAACACCAACATTTGTTAAACCACTCTTGATTTCACTTTCATACAAAGCTAGTAGGTGCTCACTGATGTACTGTGCAGCGTTACCAAAGATGTGCTCCTCTCCCTCAGTGTGTTTACAGAGCATCACACAGCAGACAGTAGCAATTGGCTTCACCTGTAATTTCCTAAGTATTTATCATTTATTTGTCCACACCAAGCCCCTCTTCTGTTTGTGTATCTAATGCTGGACATAAGGACAGCTCCTGGAGACAGATTTTTGTAGATGCCACGGTGCTTTGCTGAGTCTCCAAACTGCCTGCAGACGCTTGGGCAGGTTCCAAGGCCCAGGGAGGGGAGCACTGGGGTTGTTGGTTGTGTCATTAGTGAGGTTTTCCCCAATTTGGTTCTGATTAGTGCTGTTACACAGGGCAGAGAACAGACTGCTACTGCTGGTTGGTACTTGATTACCTATTCCCTGTTGGTAGAACACGAAGCTAAGCAGTGTCCTTCTTCCCAGGCATGTTGAACTCTTCCAAGAAATGAAGCTGATCTGATTTCAGAGTATAGCTAATGAGAGCATCTTAATGCAAGGTTACAAAGTGCTCACATGAAAGAGGAAAATACTCATGCACAAAATAATTGGTTGTGGCTGTTGGCAGCTTTTCTGGTTTAGCAATGACTCTATCCTGTACTGCAGATCCAAGCCTAGCAGGAAGAGAAGCTCACCCAGAGCTAAATCTCACCACAATACCTGGCATAGCTGCTCTTCTGCGGCTGGTTTTTGCTCACAGCAACTCCATCTGTTCCCTCCTGGCCTAGTTCTCCAAAAGCCAGTGCTTCCTTGGTCTGGACAAGTTTATATTGCACAGACATTCCATGTAGCTAGGGCAGAGGAATTGCATCAGACACTGAGCAAAAAAAGATTGTCATTGCAGTAGCTCATTCAACACCTTTCTCCTTCTTTCTTCTCTGTGCCTGGGAATTCAGCAATTTCCTGATAGGAAGCTCCCTGCAGCGTTAGTTTGCAGCCTGTGTCCCTCAGCAAGTATTACCTCCCTTCCTAGGTGGGGCAGTGCTGGAGTCCCGTAGAGGGGGTACTGGTCTCTCTCTAAAGTTCATGAGAAAAGCTGAGGCCCGTTCTGTTTTTATCCAGAGTGCATATGGCTGTTTGGATTATTGCAAGGGATTGTTTTGCTGCCTGAAGCAAAATGCTTATCTGAATTTTATTTTTTAACAAAGCCTATACAGAATTTGGCAAAGAAACAATGTAATCTTTGCAAGCTTTGTGGAGATGGTGTCCCTCCCACCTGTATAACCAATGCCTTTCTAAGAAGCCGGGACACCCAGGCAAGGATCAATCACAGTCATGTTTCACTCTTTCATGTTTAGATTCACCAAGACATTGGACTGACCAACCACGTGCCGCTGTTGAAGAAGTCACTGGAGCAATTTGTGTACCGAGTGAAGGCAATGCTGGCGTTCAACCACTGCCAGGAGGCCTTCTGGGTTGGCATCCTTAAAAACCGGGATCTTCAGGTGAGAATCACTGTCCATCCTGCCTGGGGCAAGTAAAACCTGGGCGAGGGCGATGCTCATCTTGCCCAGACAACTATACCTGCCCTCGTGTGCAGGTAGAGCTGGGAGGCCCCATTCAATGTGACTGCATTACAGTTACATTGAGTGCAGCAGAAAGAAGGGTTTGGTTTCAAGGTTAAGGGCTTCCTTGCAGTGAAGCTGTCACCCTGAGGTGGTGGGGTTTTATCATTTGTAAGGCATGAGCATGGAGGGTCATTGTGCTGCTCAGAACCGAGCCACAGACACAAAGAGGGAAGAGGCAGAGGCCATCACACCTCTTCACACATGCTCTGGTGTGTGGCTTTAACAGAAGCCAATTCTGGCCCTTTTTCTTCATCTTTCACTGTAGAAGAACGGTTGAAAACAAAACCAGCGTTTCACTCAAAAGCCTTTTATTTAAGATGGTCACAAAACACAGCTTTCTTCCACCCCCTCTTAGCGCACATCAGCTGCCCCGCATGCACTCAGTTACAGGTCTTTTTGCGTCCAACTCAGGGAGAAGAAATTTTGTCTCAGGTCTCTGAAGAGAGGGGCTCGGAGGAGGAGGAGGACTCGGCAGAGAGCCCGGCTGAGGTAGGGCCGCCGCTGCGAGCGCCTGGGCACTGACTCTGCCCGTGAGGCGGGGGGGAGGAGGGGGGTTCAGACCCGGCACTGACGGCGGTTCCCCCGCAGGAGCCCAGCGGCACGGACGCCAGCGAGGACGAGGAGGAGGCCGGGCCGGGCCCTTCTCCCGCGGAGCCCTGAGACACCGGCGGCGGCGGCGGGGGCGGCTCCGCCCGGCGATGCGCAGGCGCGGAGGGCGGGCTGAGGGGAGGGAGGGAGGGAGGGCGGTGTGTGCGTAGCTCCGCGCAGGCGCGGGGCGGCGGGGGCGGCCATGTCGGTGCAGGAGGATCCGGTGCAGCGGGAGATCCACCAGGACTGGGCCAACCGCGAGTACATCGAGGTGATCACCAGCTCCATCAAGAAGATCGCGGACTTTCTCAACTCCTTCGGTGAGGGCGCCGGGAGTCAGCTCCCACTGTGACCCAAGATCTATCATCTGGGACAGGTGGGATGAAAATCTTGGAGAAATGGCAATGAAGAGCTGCTCTCCAAAGACAGTGTCTACCCTGTGCTAGTGGCAAGATCGTATTTAGGATCCTGTGTGGTTCCGGGCCGGGGTGGGCCCCCGCTGTCTCTCACTGCCGCCTCCCCGCAGACATGTCGTGCCGGTCCCGGCTGGCCACCCTCAACGAGAAGCTGACGGCGCTGGAGCGCAGGATCGAGTACATCGAGGCCCGGGTGAGCAGCGGAGCGAGGGCGGGGCGGGCCGGGGCCAGGCGCGGGTGAGCACCGGCGGAGCCCGGCCCCGGCCCCGGCTGAGGCCTTTCCTCTTCCCGACAGGTCACCAAGGGCGAGACGCTGACGTAGGCCTGGGGCGGCCCCGGGCCCCCCTTTCCCCGTTGGAGCACCGCCGCCCCGCACCCTGCTCGGGGCCTGCCGCCACCGCCGCCTCTGCTTGTGTTGCCAATAAACCGCTGTGCTCCTGCCCTGCCTGCTCTCTGCCTGCCTGCCTGGGGCCGGGCCGCGGGATGCCCGGCTCCCTGTCACCGTCTTGGATGTCCAGAGCCTGCCCGTCCGTCCGTCTGACCCTCAGGGTTCAGCCCCGCGTTCCTCCCCACGTGTGGGGGCTGTGATGGGAGGGGACATGCTCCAGGGCCTGGCTGCTGTCAGCTCCAGGAGGCACCTGACCAGCCTTTGTGCTCCTGCTGGGGTCACAGCAGAAAATCTGGTGATCCTGATGGTTTGGAGGGTTTCTCAGCCTTCATGTGTGCACACTGTCAGGGCTGTGTGGGGACAGCAGGCTCACCTGGCATGGTGCACATGCCACAGGATAGTGCCCATTGTTGGCACCTAAACAGAAGTGCTTATCCTCCTCTCTAGGGAGGCAGGTAACAAGGAGAAAGAAATCTCTCTTTCCACCACTTCTCTATTTATTACATTTTTTCAGTGGGCATCTAGAGCTGCAGACTCAAGGCTCATATTTAGTGTTTGTTGGGGAGTCCATGGAGTTGGTGTCAGTAAAGGTCTTTTTGCTGCCCAGAAGGCTTTAAGTGTCTCGGAATATTATTTTCCAACTGAAAGCTATCTTAATGTGATGTCTGCAGTGTTTACTGGGTAACTTAATGTCATTTATATTTTTGAGGCTGGCAGCTCTGACATCATCTGGCTGCTCCTCAGCATAGGTCCTCCAAGCTCATAGTTTTATTCTCCATAGGAAGCTCTGTATTTTCTATTGTTTTGATAAGTGCTCCTCCAGCCTTTCTCTCAGCTCACCTAGCCAGTTAGGCGTTCTTCTCAGGTTGGGCCATACATCTGGGAGGCTTGGCTGCTTCTGGTGTGTAGTCACAGCAGAAATAAATGCTTTGTAGCAGCCCTGCAGAGCTTAAGAGTAGAGTGTAGCAGCCACAACTCACTGCACCTTCACTTGGGGGCAATACCAAATGATGAGAGATGGTGCTGTCATACAAGATTGGTAGGTAGAAGGAAAGCACCTCTCTCCTCAGAGGCAGTTGTTCTGTTGCCCAGGTACATCAAAAGTACGCCCGTGGCCCGTGCACTGCTTCTGGGTGTGCTGGAGTGGAGTCCTCAGATCTCCATCTTTGGAGATAACTCAGTTTTGTTTGGACAAGGCCCTGGATAGCTTGATCTGACTTTGAAGTAAGCCCTGCTTTAAATGTGTGGGGGGTGGGTAGGGTGAGCTAGAGACCATCAGAGGTCCCTGCCTAAACTACCCTGAGATCCTTCACCCAAAGACTGAATGGGAAATAGAGGGTACCACAGACATCCCTGGGACTGGGGCTGTACTGGGCTGACTTCTTCCCTTGAGATCCATGGCTTGTTTCTGTTCCCAGCTGGCAGTGTGGTGTGTCCCTCTCGGATCCCTTCCTGACGGGCTGTTGTAATGGTTCTCCCGTTTTCCTCTGACCCTGCATTTCTCACAAGAGTAGCTGTTACAACACGGTTGGTGCGGCCAAAGCAGTTTTGATATAGGAATCTGTGTTCTGGAGGGTCCTGCTCCTCCCAGAACGCGTGTTCTCGCAGAGCTTGGGCACTGTGGGATCAGCCTGCCTGGTTCATGTCCCAGCAGGGATGCTGGGCAGCTCACTGGTACTGGAGTTTTGCCCTTTTTCTTTCAGGGAGTCTCAGTAGTTCCCTAGGGCTCTGCAAGACCAGGCTTTGTGGCTGGTTGCTGCTTATTCCAGGCCACCTCTGGGAGGTGAAGCAGCATCCTGGTCCTCAGGCTGATACTCCTTCCAGCAGCTGCTGTGGTGTATGGCCTTCTAGTAGATGGAGCTTTGGCATATTGGAAGCATTCGGATTGTTTTAAAGGCTGGGAAATTCTGCTTGCCTTTTTTCTTGTCTTGTTCTGTGTCTTTTAAAGAATATGATGCCCCAGGAACCCGCATTAAACTTTTCTGGAGTGGATTTGTGTGCTCTGAATCAGGAGGTGGATTTACGTGCCGTAGCAGTGGTGCTGTTCTCCCCACCGCACGTTTAATGTAGCAGGAGATGACAATGTGCTCTGTGTCCTCAAAGCATAATTTCCTCTTGTCCTGAGGGAGCTGGGTGCTTGGGCAACCTTGCACCCAGCTCTGGTTATTGGTAGCTGAGACCTTTTCCCAGAGCCTGAACTGGGGAGCAAGCTGTTTAGAAGCCTCTTACGACGACACTGGAAGAGAGCAGTTTTGTTAGAGCTTAAGCCACATCTTGAGGCTTGAGAAAGGTTTGTGCTCTCAGAGGGCGAGCAGTGAGCTGTCAGTGCTGGCTGCCTGCTGGACAGGCTGCCAGAGGTCATGGAGCCATCAGAGCAATCCTCCAGCCCCCGTTTGAGGTAACGGTTCCAAGGTTTGGGAAGGAGTGGTAGTACTGATCTCGGGTGGGAGTATCACATGGTGATACTGTGCTCACATCACCATTTTTCTGGTGTCAGCAGCAGGAGATACAGCTTGAATTCAAGCTTTGCATACCCCATACAGGTTGTAGTGTCTAATCCAAAGCATATGTTTTCAGATCAATGGGTTGGCCCTAACCTCTCAAATAAATGTAGCTTCTAGTAAATAAACTTTGGGCTCTCTAGGTACCTACTGCAGAGTCTTGATTTTAGGAAACAGCTTTAAAGACAAATGTATGTTCGTCCCCTCTATGTTGCAGGTGATTGAACCTGACAGTAATCCTCAGACTCCAGCAGCCACCAGCTCCTTCCTCAGATCACAGCACCCCACACCTTCCCCTTGCTCCTTCGCAGCCATTTGGGAGCAGGGCACATATTTTTCTATTAGTAACAATGGAATTGCACTAATTCAGGAATCTGCCCTTTCCCTCCAAATAAAGTGGGACAAAGCTGTCACACAAGTGTCCGGGTGGTACCAGCAGCAAATCCCTGAGGCACCAGCGCTGGCTGAGCTCCACAACCGGCCACAGTCACCCATGGTGTTGGCAGGCAGGAAAGAACCCAGAGTCTCAACTCTCTCAGAGGCTAGTTCCCAAAGAAAGGCAAAATAACCACATGCAATACATGAGAACTCATTCTAGTGAATGCTGCGGGCTTGGGGCTGAGTGGCTCGGGAGCTGCCTGGCAGCAAAGGATGTTGGGGATGTTGGTCGACTGAGCCAGCAGTGTGCCCAGGTTGGCCAAGAAGGCCAACAGTATCTTGGCCTGTATCAGGAACGGTGTGGCGAGTACGACTCCGAGAGGTGATCGTCAGCCTGTACTGGGCACTGGTGAGGCCTCACCTGGAGTGCTGTGTCCAGTTTTGGGCCCGTTACCATAAAAAGACTTAGAGGTGCTGGAGTGGATCCATAGAAGAGCAAGAAAACTGGAGAGGCGTCTGGAGAACAGGTCTTATGAGGAGAGGCTGAGGGAGCAGGGGTTGTTCAGCCTGGAGAAAAGGAGGTGAGACCTTATTGCTCTCTACAACTACCTGAAAGGAGGGGGCTGGTCTCTTCTCCCAAGTCACAGGTGACAGGACTAGAGGAAAGGCCTTGTGACACCGCTGTGCCCTTGAATGTCCCTAGCAGTCTCCTGTGACACCGGCTGTTGCTTTGCACACAGGTTTTCAAGTGACCAAACATCATGCTTAGCCAGAGGCAATGCTCGCTGAGGAACAGGAGCTCTTGCACCAGGATGTAAGACAAATCCGAGCGGAAGGAAGCCAAAGCCAGAACTGTATTTTAGCCCAGCGACTACAAGGTTGAGTTACTTCTGAGCAGGCCTAGAAGGAGCTCAGGAGGCCACAGGAGCTGCAGTGCTTCCTTAGGTGAGACCACTGAGGGCCAAAGGCAAGGGACTGGCATAAGAAGGGCTTAATTAGTTAATTGTCTACCCAGGGGCAGCTGTAGTGGGAAGCACCAGCGGAGCTGGTGTGTGTTAGGTGCTGAGCTGGGCTTCATTTTCTGCTCTCCTGCACAGGAGAGGTCTGCCCCCCGCCTTTCCTACTCTCTTGTTGCCTTCTGAAGGCTGGCTGGGTCAGAAACCATCTTCTGCTGGAGAAGGAGCAGCTCCCCTAAACGGAAAACCCCAGGGTGCCTTCCATTTAATGTTGTGCTGAAGAGTTAGAGGTGGAGGAGAGCAGCCATGAGCTTACCACGGGTACAGGACAAAGCCAAAGAGAGGGATGCGGTGTTTCAGGTGACTCTAAGGAGGGCAGTGAGGATTGCAAGGGAAGGGTTGGTAGTAGCAGCCCGTAGAGAGCCAGGGCACATGGGTACTGCCCAGCCAGGCAGCGAGGACGTACAAGTGGTCACTAGCACGTGAGAAATTGCCCACGGGCAACTCGAGCATCTGAAGGACCTGTGTTTTTCGGGACTCTCCACCCGGATGTGGGATGTGCTCCCCTCCGCATTTGTGT